CAAGCACAAGGTCCCAAGTTCAATCCCTGGTACAAAAAAAAAAAAAAATCCTCAGTAAGATACTGGTAAATAGAATGCAGCAAATCATCAAGAAGATTATACACCATAACCAAGTAGGATTCATCCCAGGAATTAAGGGATGGTTCAACATATGCAAATCACTAAATGTAATACACCACATTAACAGAACCAAGGACAAAAACCATATGATCATCTTAACAGATGCAGAAAGAGCATTTGACAAAGTCCAACACCATTCATGGTAAAAATTCTAAAGAAAACTGGAAGAGAAGGTCTTTATCTCAATCTGATAAAAGTCATCTATGAGAAAACCTACAGTTAACATCATAGTAAATGGTCAAAAATAGAAAGCTTTCACTCTAATACTAGAAACAAGACAAAGATGCCCACTATTTACATTCCTATTCAATATAGCTCTGGAAACAGCCAGAGCAATTCGAAAAGAGAAAGAAATGGAATAAGGATAAAAAAGGAAGTCAAATTATCATTATTTGTGGAAAAACTCCACCAAAAGACTCCTAGAATTAATAACCAAATTCAGTGGTGTAGTAGGATATAAAATCAACACTCAAAAATCAATAGCATTCCTGTATACAAATAACAAACTCACCGAGAGAGAAATTAGGAAAACAACACTTTTCACAATAGAATCAACTAAATGAAATACTTAGGAATCAACCTAACAAAGGAAACAAAAGACCTTTATACTGAAAACTACATTATTCTGAAAAAGGAGATCAAATACATTATGAGAAAACGGAAAGATATCCCTTGCTCTTGGGCAGGCAGAACCAATACAGTGAAAATAGCCATACTTCCAAAACTGTTATACAGATTTAATGCAATCCCAATCAAAATACCAATAGCATACCTCACACAACTACAGAAAAGTATCCTAAAATTTATTTGGAACCAGGAGACGTTTAGAATAGCAAAAGCAATTCTGGGCAACAAAGGCAAGTCAGGAGGCACCACAATCTGGGATTTGAAATTACATACACTACAAAGCTATCGTGACAAAAATAGCATGGTATTGGCCAATAAAAAGAAACAGACCCAAGGAACAATGGGACAGAATAGAAGATGCAGAAACAACTCCAAACATATTCAACTTATCTTTGAGAAAGGGCCCGAACACCTTCACTGGAAGACAGCCTCTTTAATAAATGATGCTGGGAAAACTGGTTTTCTACATGTCAAAGATTAAACCTAGACCCATATGTCTCACTAAACTAAAACTGAAATGGATCGAAGATCTAAATATTAAAATAGAAACAATCTGCTGGAAGAGAGAATAGGTAAAACTCTTGAAGACATAGGTGTAGTCAAAGACTTTATGAACAAAACCCTGATCACACAGGAAATATTACAAAGAATCAACAACTGGGATCACATCAAATTAAAAAGCTTTTGCACAGCAAAAGAAACCACCAACAGAGTGAAGAGACAGCCCACAGAATGAGAAAATTTTTTTACCAGCTATTCCTCAAAGGACTAATGTCTAGAATATACAAAGAATTCAAAAAAATCAGGCCCCCCAAATTTAAAGACCCAATCCAAAAATAGGCATCTGAAATGAATAGACATTTCTCAGATGAAGAAGTATAAATGGCAAATAAATATATAAAAAATGCTCAACATCACTGGTCACTCAAGAAATGCAAATTAAAACAACACAGATTCCATCTCATTCCAGAAAGAATGGCTATTTTCAAGAAAACAACCAATAACAATTGCTGGAGGAGCTATGGGGGAAAAGGAACCCTTCTCCACTGTTGGTGGGAGTGTAGACTGGTGCAACCACTCTGGAAATCAGTGTGGAGATTCCTCAAATTACTCAGCAATTCCCCTTCTTAGTACTTCCTTGAAACCACAGCAATATATGCACACTCATGTTTATAGCAGCATATTTGTAATAGCTAACTCTTGAAACAGCCCAAATGCCCATAAGCAGATGAGTGGATAAAGAAAATGTGGTCTTTATATACAATGGAGTACTATACTCCCACAAAGAAGGATAAACGAGAGATTTTTAGGTAAATGGATGGACCCTGAGAACATAAAGTGAAATAAATCAGATACACATTTAAATTGTTTCTCTGGTGTGAGAAACCCAAAGGGTAAATAAGGACCAAAACGGATGAGAGACATTAGGAAGTAGGAAGAACATGTTCAAATGGGAACAAGAGAAGGGGAAGGGGGAAGGGAAGGAAGGGAAAAGAAAAAAAGAAGAGAATAGAAAGAAAACATGGAAACAAAGCTTTTGTAAATGGGAGGGGAATCAGGGTTGAAGGGGGGGGTGAGGAATGGGGAAAAAAAGAAGAATCAACATATACTATGTATAGGTACAAATTCCCTATGATGAATATGATCATTATGTATATCAAAAATGTACCAATAAAAGTAATTAAAAATAAAAATACAGATTATATTTTAAACTTTTGGAGGCAAGTAGCAAAAACACTCCCTGTCACATTCAGGAAATATAATTGGCAAACTTCCCAGTATTAAAAGACATTACCATGATGATTATTTATTCCTTTTATAACTAAAACTTCCCTAAAAGCACTTAGAGGGAGAAGATAAAAACATAACTTCTGGAATAAGTTACAGCTCTACTAGAACATGGGCCTGGTTTCCTCAGCTTGTTTTGCCACTCCCTGAACAGGGCTCCCCTGGACTCCTCCAAGGGCCCTGTGTGTGCCGGGCCCTGCGTGTGCCGGGCCCTGCGTGTGCCGGGCCCTGCATATGCCTGACCCTGCGTGCAGATTGGCCCCTCACCGAGCTGTAGCCAGGGAAGAATCAGAAGCAGTGGCAAATGTAAAGTTCCATGGCAGCTTTCTACCTACTTTTAAGAACTCATCTCACCTCTTCTAGTACTCATTTTATTTATTTCTAGTTTTGAACTTGTGAGAGGAGAAAAACTCAACAAATAATTGATATAATTGCTTTTTTGCTATTCATTGATTGTCTAAGATTTATACTTCCTTATATAATAAATATATACCTTTAAAAATGTACCTACCGAGGCAGAACGGCTGTATCACATTCATCAGTGTTAACTCAGTCTTAAGATTTATCACTCGAAGGACAATGTTGATTAACCAGGACTTGACAATGTCAGGACACGGTGTAAGCAGTAAGTAGTCAGTAACATAGAGAGCGTATCGAAACCAGCACAAAAGTGGAGTGGCAATCCTGCCAGTGGGTGACTCAGCCATTCGCTCAATTGTCGGGAACAACAGAAAAGTGTGAATGACCTACAATAAAGGAAGAAATTCTGATGAGAACTTTTCTTCAGGGATAGCCTATTGCTTTATTATTTTTCTATACAGTAGTGACAAATGACTAGGTTTCAGAATATGTCTAGAGACCTACTCAGACTGAGAAGAATTACCAACCATGTATAGAGGGATATAATGACACCCCTTGAAACACTAGGGTTAATTTTCAGGGTGGGGAGGAATGACATTTCTAGATAACTCCTAGACTGTGTTAGCAATTCATAATTCCCTTGAAGGACTGCTGAAATTAGGAACTAATATACCATTTTAGCGGTTCTGTCAACCTGATTGACCAATGATGATATCTGAAGAAAACAGTCATATAAAAGTCTATTTCTACGCAGCAATTTTATTGATTATACTTGGAGAGTGTTCTTTAGAAAAGCTCTTCCATTCCTTCACGTTATCAGCCAAGCATAATCTTTAACAGAAACAAATATATAATATATAATAATGGATTGAACCTTAATAAAGTACAAGGCAGGTACCAGGGCGGCTGGGTATCTCTACTAATATGGGAAAATGTTTAAGGACAAGAATATCATCTCACCTTGATCCATCAGAATAATAAGAAATACATTTTAATAACTCTGCAGAAGAAAGAAGAGCATGTAAAAAGCTATTTTATGTCTACCATTATTTACTAATTATTTTCTGAAATTAATATACATATATACATACATATATAAATAATTTCTAAGGGGATCAGAAAAGTCAAAATAGCTAAACACAATCCCTTTTAAGAGAGTAATATAAATGCAACAGATCAAATTATTACAAGACCGCAGAACTTTTTTCTAAAACCGTATCTTAAATTGTTAAGTATAACACATATGGTAGGAAGTATGATTAAAAAATACAGTGAATATTTATTTTAAAATTTTTTTATTACAGTAAAAAACAC